GACCGACTGGGCTGCTTCAACCTCAGTATACGAGGACACGGGTGAGACTTATTTTAAAGGGAGGCGTATCAGCCAGCTCCTGGTTGTGATCTGGAGTTCAGCGTAGCTCACTTCACTGATCCTGGATAACCGGAGTCACAAAGCTGGTTATTAACTGCGTCTGTTAGCTCTGGGTTGCCCAGCTATGAGCAAGTTAATGTGAGAGAGGCAGAGTTGGTAATTAGTTGTGAGTTTGTCTGATGAACAAACCTACTATGAATATTTGATTGCACATAAAAAAGTTATTGTTTCTGCTTTCAAAGCAGAGAGGAGAAGAAAAGTAGTTGATGAGGTCTATCTGACCAAAATGTTGCATCTATAATCCCTGGAACTAATTAATCCTGTGTGGATTATTTTTCTAATAAAAGTCAACAGAGCGTACACTTTTTATTTCCAATTATAACACAGTCGCCTCGTGTTATTCTGAGCTGCAGTGATGGATTAGGAGTGTAAATCAACCTTACCAGGAATGTCATTGGGAATAAACCAAACTTTATGTAATATGAATGCAGCTTTCATTGTCATTTATGTGTCGTTAACTGTCCCTCAGTTTGATAGAAGGAGTCAAGCTTTTTACTCGATTTGATCTAATCCTCTGAAGTTTACCTGCTCCGGAGTCGGTTGTCTATGCAGTATGCGTTACCATGGTGATGTTTGGTACCATAGTGATCTAACACAGTGAATCAGCTTTGGTGATACTGGAAACCGTAATCAAATCACTCCTCTTCTCTCTCTCTCTCTCTCCGTTTAACAGCATGTGATAGAATCTTTATTTGTGTTGTCTCTGTGAACAGTGAAGTGATTTGACTCCTTTAGACACTCTCCCTTACCGCTCACACATCTACAGTGTGCTCAGGGCCAACACATTACACTTAGGGCCTGTACTAATGATTGAACGTGTGCATTGATTGATTGATTTGTGTGTATGTTTTGCTCTCTGTCTCTCAGTGAGTGTGTGGAGTTTGTGAAGAGTTTTAAGATTCCTCTGTTGGTCCTGGGAGGGGGAGGATACACAGTGAGGAACGTGGCTCGCTGCTGGTAAGTGTGACACACAGACACACAGCTCTGCTTTCCTACACACAACGTGGGGTTAATGGTAAGGAGGTGACGGTGGTTCTGTGTGCTGCGTTCCAGCGTGATATATGGGCTTTGGTGTTTAAAATGACGGGTGTTTTGTTCTCCTGTAGGACCTTTGAGACCTCTCTGTTATTGGACGAATCCATCAGTGATGAGCTCCCTTATAGCGGTGAGTAATGGTGTTCACTTACCTCACCTCAATGACTTGTTGTTTTCTTGTTGTTCAAAATGGCTTCTGTATCCGAGTCCTGTTATGTTGTTGTGGGTCTGAGAAGAGTAGAGATTACAATTTTAGCATTTTCTATGTTTGGTGCCATCTGTCGGAAGCAGAATGTCCATCTGAGCGCAGTTTTGGAGGGAGAATTCAGTGGAAATAATATTTCACGTGCAGTTGAAACAGAAAGCCTGTGTGTGTCTAAATCGTCTTCCTCTTGTCCTCCTCTGCAGAGTATTTTGAGTACTTTGCTCCAGACTTCACGCTGCACCCCGATGTCAGCACCAGGATAGAAAACCAGAACTCCAGACAGGTGAAACACCGTCCCACACTGTTAATAGTTAGAAAGCACTGCAGTGTCCATTCTGTTAAGCTATTTAAAAAAATGTTGTCTTAGTTTTAGTCCTGTGTCAAATGTCCTCGTTAGTTTTGATCATATTTCATAGTGGTCCATATATAATGCCCATATCAAAACAAAGCAAAGTAATCTCATCGCTCTTATTTACATCTTATCCAGTAACACGTATTATAGATGGAGTTGTTATTGAGTAATGATATCTAAAAATACATTGGGTTATGTTGTAGATTTCAGAACGTGTATTTTTCACCCCCTTCCTAAAACTCACAAAGGGGGAGCTCTAGCTTCCACCTACATTTATCGGCCTCGTGAGCGCAGGTATCTGCCCACGCCGATTACCTCCAAATGCCAGATAATCGGCCGACAGATGAATTGGTCTGTCTTTAATATTTAGTCATGTTTTAGTCGACTAAACGTCTGGGTATTTGTAACTATTTTAGTGTAGTTTTAATCAGTGACATTTTTTCACATTTTAGTCTTTTTTGTTGAGAGATTATACTGAACATTTCAGTCAGAAGATTTTATCATTATCTGATAAACAGCACAGGTTGAAGGATCCACAGCCTACACACAGTAACACCACCGCCTCACTAGCTCAATACAGTTAAAAAAAACAAAACAACCTCCCTCAGATTATTTGTGCTCAGCGTTAATGTGTCTCTTCAGGTGTGTGATGTTCTACCATCTATTGACACATTGCTTCACTTCTGATAAAGCTACGCATTTGTTTTTTTCCCTCAGCCTCATTGTAACAAAAACAGGCTCAAATAGCACCTTAACTCTCTCTCTTAAGCCCTTTAATGTGCTTTCTGTAAAATAGTTGATACATTTCTCCTGGCTGCTCATTGTGTGATTGTGATACTACATAATGTCCTCTTTTTTCGTTAACAATATTGCATGTCGATATAGTCACAGTTTGACGAACATATTTAGTCAGAGTTCTCATCAGCTAAATGAACACTACTCCAGAGTCTGCAGGACAGGAGAAAGTGTCTTTGTTGAGATGCATTCTTTCTATTGAAAGTGCTTTAATGGTGCTGTTGTCTGTTGAGGACATAAAGATACATCACATAAGTGCAGTCTCTGTAACCGTACCTGTGCCGTTGCAGTACTTGGAGCAGATCCGTCAGACGGTGTTCGAGAACTTGAAGATGTTGAACCACGCGCCCAGCGTCCAGATCCACGACGTTCCCTCCGACATGCTGAGCTACGAACGCAACGATGAGCCGGACCCTGATGAGAGGGGGGGCGAGGAAAACTACACCAGGTCAGTACACATGGATGCTGGGCGGGAATTCCTAAATTAGGATGGATGAGATGGATTTTTTCAGCCGATTTAATAACTGATAATTACCAGCTTCTCATGGCCGATGGCGATAAGATAACTGATAATTTAACATTTTTGTATTAAAATGAGTTCATAACCATTATTATTATGGGCTGATAATTATTATGCTTTCCTAATTTTAAATGTGTGCGTTGTTGCTGTGTCTAACTGGCTGACCACAATGTCATCTCCTCAGGCCGGAGGCGGCCAACGAGTTCTACGATGGCGACCACGACAACGACAAAGAGAGTGATGTGGAAATTTGATAATGAGAGGAGTGGAGCTCTCCAAACACCACGTCTCCACTGCACATTTAACAGAAACTCATAGAAACACCTGGAAGGACTGAAGACTCTCAAGCTCTGCTCTTTTTCTCTGTAGGTTCCTCTTTTTAAAAGTCCTCAATCAGCCGCCCTTCATCTGGCTGTTCCACCCTCAGCCTTGTATATAATGTCACAGAGCTCCACAACTCCACTCGCAGCAGTATTCCTGGTTCTGGTGAATATTGGAACAGACAGGAAGAGCCCAAATGACCTGAACTTTCATAATGCTGAAACATACAGACAGTATATCAGTTGTGTTTCTATTCATGTAAAAAGATTACAGGATAACATTTTCAGTCTTCTTTTGAATTTACAAGCAGCGTCCACTAGAATCAAGACTCCAAACAAACTTGTCTAGATTCTGATAATAGCATTTTATTTTAATTTTTTTCCCATTCTTTCCACTCGTTATCTTGTTCATGTTATCTTAGTAATGAAATGTATTTAACTTTTGAAGAGGAAGTATTGTATTCAATGTTTGGATTTAGGCCTGAGCAATGTTTGTTTTCCACACGTCCAAAGTGTCACAAAGAGTTTTGAGCATCCTAAATTTCCGTTGAGTCAACCCCCCCTGAGATTTAAGAGCAGTTAGTTTGGAGCCCTGTGTGACATCCAGCGTGTGTGTGAAGGCACTCAATGAAAACAAAAAACAGTTTCCACCAGGTGTCATGGAATAGACACGGGGAGCTTTTGATTTATTCACATGCATGTGAGAAGCTGTTCAAGTGCCTGCCAGGATCCATTAGTCACACATTAGCCAGTTCAGATGTTTAAAACCACGCTTTAACTGTTTTATACAGAATCACAATGGTGCAAATTATTCCAAACCTCTTTTCTTTTTCCGTCATTGTAGCTGTCAGGATGGGTTTTCCATTTTTTTCTAGCATTATTTGTGTGCCTTACAGCTCTGAGTAGCCAAGCGCTGGTAGAGATGGGCACTTCCACATCAACGATTCAACAGTTTGAACTTGGCATTGGTTTGGATTTCTGTAAACGAACATCTGTAAATAAGGCTGATCCGAACAGGAATTCTCCTGTATTTTCATTCCTTTCTCTCTTCTTCTGTTTTTTTCTGCTCGTTACTGTATATATACGTATAAATGTATCAACTGTGAGTGTACATCGTGTAGAGGAGGACCACGGTGGTGAGGCTGGCAGTTAAAACATTTTGTACCTAAGCAGGTATCAGGGATCAGAGTCCTGGTCCTTCACTGTGCATCTTTATTAACAGAATCATTACAGATGTACATGACTGTCAACAGATATGCTTTCTACCATCGGACACGTCCAGTCCTCTTTTAGCCAGAAACAGGTTTTATGTGATTTTTTTGATATCGTTGTCTACTTTTGTTTTTAATAAAAAAAGAACTGATTGAATCAGCTGTGTGTATGCAATATGCAAGTATTTTAGAGGCTGAGCTCCATCAGCAAGTTCTGAATGCCGTCACCAGGGGGCGACATGGTGCTGGTATTTTAAAAGAGTGGTCTGGGTCTTGCTCAGAGACACTTGAGAGGGAATCTCTCCAAACACCAGAACACACTCAAGAAAAGAAAGAAAATACACACGGGGAGGTAAAGCCAAGGTCACATTAACTTTATTCCTCATTCATACAGTGATATGTAGAAGTTCTTACACAACAAACAGTACTTAAGGAGGATTCACACTAATACCTGCAGTTTCAAATCTCAACAGAAAGGACCTAACTTACCATCTCTATTCTGGGGCTTCAAGCAAATCCAATGTTTAACCCTGTTTGATCCAAACACCGCCACAAACTGTAGAAATACTACATCTTAAAACCAGTGAAAGGCAGTTTAAATGTTCCTGTTCAAATGCGGCCCAAATACGCTGCATTTAAACCACAAGAATTTCATCTTGTGACCTTAGTCTCAGAGTTTATGGGCCGACCGAGCTGTGGCCACACAGGGTTAAATACCAGATTTTCAGTTTGCATGCAGATCCAGCTAAAAATCCCAGGTTTCTGTGAAATTAGTTTGTGTCTGGCAGTAACAACAAGCAGTTCCAAGGTAAGCAGGCAAACCAAGCCTCTGTAGATCTTTTTCTGCAAGGCTCTGGTCACAAATGGAGAGTTTGGGCACAGGCTGACATACTGATACCTATTTTCCATCTGAACATACTGAATTAACGATGCATACATGCATTGAAGGAGAAAAATGTTTTTCTCCTCTAGTAAAATTTAAAAACGTCTTATCTGCACTGCAGATGTGAGAAAATGTAAACTTTTCTTAAGTTAGGACTGAGCGTTGGTTTGAGTGCAGGTCAGGTTTTGGTTCAGCAGTAGAGGCTGGGTATCAGGACGTCAGCCTGTCTTAACTCGTGGACATTGTACACCTCTGTTTGCAGCCTTTCTCAGGCCACGAGAGGGGCAACCCGACACTGATAGCTAATAACTGAAGTTCAAATAAATAGCTTAATTCACGTACACCGTATATTAGAAACCAACTTTAAAAACACATATAGTGAATTTATACCACAGAAGAAAATCTGAGCAGTAACCAGTTGTGGCATTTAAACAAGGAGGGAGGGGGGGGGGGGGGGGGGGGCAGTTTAAAATCGGATTTTCTGTTCCAGTTAATGGAGCTTTACAGACACGCATCATCAGAGGCAAAAACTTACACTCGGAGGCTCAAACACAAATGTATCCTCGTTCAGTTACAAGCTGGAGGAAAAGAAAGAGCAGGTGCTGGAGGAGGCGGACAGGTGCCAGAATTAAAGTGCAGTGATAGATGTTGGCTGCGAAGGGTTGTGGGTACTGTAGTTAATCTAGGTTGCTTCCTCCTTTCTAACCTAGATTAGCTGGAAACTGTTTTTAAAGGATTTAAAGGAAGCGCGTACACTGTGGGGAAAACGGTTTGTGGTTGGCTGCTGGGATCAAACTGGCAGCGGGGCTGACTGCCACACCGTATCCAGGTCTATTAATACATCCATGGCCGAGACAAACCATTTTACTGAGAGCAGACTGGACAGACGGGCAGAGCAGAGAGGCTTACAGGCATGTATCAAACATGAGCTCTGCAGCCTGAAACAACAGGGAAAGGACGGCACAGCAGTGACAAACAGCGGCAGATGGACACCGAGAGGCGACCAAGTGCTCCTTATGGTTAGGGCTGTGTTATTTTAAAACACTATCTAATGGATGGAGGGAAAAAATCTTAAATGCCGTGTCACAGTTTCTTTTAGAGATTTTCACAAACTGTACCCTAATCTTGAAAATTAGGCAAAATGTCTTAAAGAAATTTGAAATAAAACCGTTCTGTTACTCGGCCTCGTACAGTAATACAACCAGAGCGTCGGTTGTTTGATTAACCTGACCTGGCTCGGCCTCAGAAGCATTCTGAAATGTGTCCTCGTCTGCTGCAGTGCTGTTACGTTGTATTCTGAACCAAAGCTCGAGCATTAGTACTATATCTGCCTCTGGGTGACAGCTGATCCAGTTTCTCCGGCCCGGTTTGACAGTTCTGAGATGCGTGGTAGTGATCTGAGGATGTGACGGGGGGGTTCAGAGTGGCTCTACAGCTCTTCACTCTCATACAGCGGGGCGGTGTGCTGGGCGGGGCTCTCCACAGTCAGAGAAGGAACATGGCTCAGAGAGGACAGCAGCTTCAGCGTCTTCGAGCCAGGGGGCGCCGTTTTCATGGGCGGGGCTGTGCGAGCTGCGAAGGGACAGAGAGAAAGGAGTGATGGATTCATATGTACTCATTTTTGATTGTTTTGTTCTTTAACCAGTTTTAAATGTGTTGTGGAATATTTTTATCAGAAGGAGGCTAGGAACAATACTTATTAACAACAACAGTATGACACAACCTGTAAGCAATCTTAAGTGTGTGTAAAAACTGTTTTCTTCTATATATATATATATATATATATTAAAAAAATGCTTTTGGTAATATACTCGTATACTGCACAGTCACTGCAAAGTTTATCCAGCAGAGTGCGCTGTGACTTACAATACTGTGACAAGCAGCACAGAGTACTATTATATTTAACATTTTTAAGAATAATTAACTGACATATTTTTTATAAAGTTATTTGTTTAAGAAAGCAGCCCTCGGAGTACTTTTGCATCGTCATGTCGGAGCCAGTCCACATAGAAAAGGTCTTTTCATTCCGCTATATCGGCTATCACATCAGCAATCTGAGAATTTTCCCCTCGAAGATCGGTATCAGTCTCGAAGATCCCAAATCAGTCTACGTGAAACCTAAACACAATGTGCAGTTGACATACATACATAAAACGGTGTACTTCCTGCAGAGTGGGGCTGCAGTGCTGTTCTACAGAGCTGCAGATGGCGTGTTTATCTATATTAATAGTATGAATAACACCACTGGTGTCACCAACAGGGGGACGACTCAGCCTAAACATTCTTTTCATGCCAGGTGTCTGAAAATAAGTCTCCTGCCCCCGCTGGCCACAGTGCGGGACAGTATGGCTCAGGGTCAGGTATGGAACAGACAATGGGCCCACGGCTCAACAGGGTTCACCTTCTGTCTTCATGCATCTGGAGCCTGATGTGTTGTGTGTGTGTACATGTCTGCTGGGGTTAATCATCGCTCATAGTTCTACTGCGGACAGACACCTGTTCTACCTGCAAATATTCACCAGAACATCGCTCTCTGTCTGTCTGTCTCTCTGTCTCTCTCTCTCCTATGTCTGTGTCAAGAGCTGCTGGTCTGTGTGTCTGTTTGACCTATAGCAGGGCTGAGCTACACACACACACACACA